ATGTGGTACTACTTTGTAGACCTCTTCATAAAGTTGGTTTCACAGCACATTTAACTGCAGTTCATGAAAAATTAATTCTATGAACGATTTTAGATTATGTAGAAATAAAAGGATATTAATTATGGCTGTTAGTCCATGTGGGCTGCTATAACAAACAGCAGAAACTGTGATAAACAATAAAGAGTTCTTGCTCATAGACACTGGCAGATTTGGTGTCTGGTGAAAGCCTACTTTCTGGTTCACAGCTGGTATCTTCTAGACCTGAGCTCACATAATGGAAGAAGCTAGCACTCTCCTGGGTTTCTTTTAAAAAAATAAATAAATAAAATTTCCCTTTTTTTGAACTCCATGAGATACATAGTTAAAGAGTTATTCATAACTGGACTTCAGTCATACATTGTTCCAACCCATCCCTTCACCACTGTACATTTCCTGCCACCACTGTCCCCAGTTTCCCTCAGCCCTCATCCCAGCCTGTCTTTATGGCAGATATCCCCTCTCCCCCTACCGCCGCTCTCTCTGCCCCTCTCTCTCCCTTACCATCCCCTCTTCCCGTTCCCTCTTCTTTTTCCCTCTTAGACTCTATGGTATACAATAGTTTTACTGAAAGATTATTATGTATATCACTTTCAGTTCTTGTCCGCAGTGATTATTTCCAACCATCATTGTCATAGTGGTCCCTTCTCTGTCCTAACCCTCAAATATATGATCATTTAATCCTCATACAGTAGCAAGAAATATGAAGGGGAGCAAGGGAAGCCTCTTTAATAAATGGTTCTGGGAAAACTGGGTATCTAGTCAAACCTCTTTCTAAAACCATTCACAGAATTCAAATCAAAATGGACCAAAGACCTTGATATCAAACCATATTCATAAGGTGCATAGAGGAAAACATAAGCAGAACTCTCCATTACACTGAAGCTAAAGGCATCTTCTAAGACGAAAGTCCACAGTCCACTGAATTTCTTTTATGAGGGCAATAATCTCATTCATAGGGCTCTACTTTCATGATCAAAATAGTCTCCCAAAGGCCTGGCCTCCTAACACTGTAAATTTGTAGGTTAGCATTTATATATATATATATATATATATGAAGAGAGGACATAAATATTCAGATTGGAACAGTTACTGATGCCAATGATCATAACTTTAAGCACAAGCCTGCAGCTTCTCTCTATGTACATAAGCTTAATATATGGCTCACAGAGTTGTCGGAGTACATAAATGTTAACCAGCATGATTTAGCAAGATGTTTCGCCTTAAAGAAAACACATTGCTATTTATGTGCAAAGGGAAAGAGAAATACAGGAAAATAAACCTACTCAAACTTGTAATTTGAACTGAATCATAAATTACATGGACTCAGTCACACAATTAGTTGGCCCATACAATTACATACCAAGTGCAACTTTCACAGTTGAAGTTGAATATTATCTTTCTGAGAGGTGGTTAGTAGAAGAGCATTTCTAGAAAGTACAGTGTATACCTATCTCAGTAGCAATGTCTGTAATAGCAATATTTACTAGATTTCTCTTTACTAAATTTTTCTTCCTTCTTTCCTCTTTCTCCATCCCTTTTCATTTTCTAATGTCTTATCTTTCAAAGTAAAACAGATTTATAATTTATATATGAGAAAAGGTTAAGTACAATGGAAAGTTTAGAGAGCTATAACATACACCTATAAGCATTTGAAAGTAAAACTTGATAATTGCTATTATTTTGAATACCAATGTATTTATATAAACTAAATTACATGAAAAAGTCATATACTATCCTTTTCAATGTTCTCAGTCTTGCCCAGAAACATGGAAGGCAGTTTCTATTCATTTCTTATAGAGGATGGACCTGAGACAGAATTTTTATTATTAAACCTAGTATTTTTTTGTTACTTATTCTTGGATCTCCTGAGGATTACTTCTGACTCTTCTCGGACATCACTTGTAATGGGATTCTGGGGACCATATGTGCTGCTGGTGACCAAACCTGAGTTAGTCATGAGCAAGGCAAGCAACTTACCTTTTATGCTCTCTCTCCAAACCTACTATCTAGGATTTAAACACAGGATTTCCTGCTCTTAAACAGTTTATGCTATATCCGTGATATGTAAAATATTAAATCATACATATGTACTGGAGCACTGTAGCACTGTCCTCCCGTTGTTCATTGATTTGCTTGAGCGGGCACCAGTAACGTCTCCATTGTGAGACTTGTTACTATTTTTGGCATATTGAATATGTCAGGGGTAGCTTGCCAGGCTTTGCTGTTAGGGTGGAATACTCTCGGTAGCTTGCTGGGCTCTCCTAGAGGGGAGGAGGAATCGGACCCGGGTCAGCTGAGAGAAAAGGAAACGCCCTTCCCGCTATGCTATCACTCCGACCCTATGCAAATACCTTCATATTTTGCATTTCAAGACTTATTTCTGAATTTATCCTCAAAATGTTATTTTCACTAATATCTATTTCTAATATTAAATTGCCTTTCAATGGGGGCCACAGAGAGTACAGCAGGTAAAGCACTTACTTTAGAAGCTAGTGACATAGGTTTGATCCTTGACTCCACATATGGTCCCCCCTGAGATCTCCAGGAGTGATCCCTGAGTACAGAGCTAGAAGTAAGACCTGAGCACAGCCAGGTGTGCACCCCCCACACCCCAGAGTGCCAAAAAAGATCTTTTAATTATACTGTTTTGAATGTGATGTTTATATAAAGAAATCATTATCATTGACAACATTGACAAGGAATACAATCTACTGGTTCAGCACCTCCATGATTGTGTGAAGAATGCCGAGGGATAGCCACAAAAAGAAGCCTGTCTTGGAAAACTCTCCAGCTTATTCACCAACGTGGCTTGGCGCAAGCTTCAGGCAACTGCAAGCGAACGTCCAAGCTCACAAAGCAGTGCAGAGAAGCGATAAAGGAAAACCTCAAACAGAGAAGAGCAGCAGTGCTGGCAGATGTGGCAGAAGCTGGGAAAAGCATTCACAACACCCGCCTGTCCTTCGCCAACTACAAGACTAAGGTGACTGGCCTCTGACGTCCTCGTGGATCTATGACATCTTCCAGAAGGGCAATGGAGAAGATTATCCATGACATCTACTGGGATCTCTTTGATAGCCATGTCCACCTGCCCACATACCAAATTCTGCAGGATAGGTATGTCATTCCCAGCATTCTCCCTTCTGAAATCCGACACGCCATTTCATTGGTAAAGAAGCGAACAGCACCCGTCCCAGACAAGGTCAGACCTGAACACCTGAAGAACCTGCCATCAATACTCATCAACACACTGGCTCAGCTCTTCACATGCTACCTGTCTGAATGCAAGGTTCCATCTCAATGGAAAACTAGCAGGACTGTAGTATTGTACAAGAAGGGAGACATCTGCGACATTGGCAACTATCACTTGATCTGCCTGTTATCTGTTGTCTACAGCTGTTCACTCAAGTCATCCTGAATAGGATTGGCAGAACACTATAAAGGACAACCATGAGAGCAAGCCAGTTTCAGCACAATCGACCATATCCACATGATATCCAAGTTCACTGAGGTTTCTCAGGAGTTCAAGATGCCGCTCTGTTTAACATTCATTGATTTCAAGAAACTTTTGATTCTGTTGAGACTGAAGCGGTCATCGAAGCCCTAGCCAAACAGAGCGTTCAAACTCAATACATCAGGATCTTCCATGAGCTGTATTGCGGATTCACTACCAGGGTCTCACCATTCTACAGGGAGGCAATCATTGATGTCAAGAGAGGGGTTCTGAAGGGTGATACCATTTCACTGAAATGTAAATGGTACCCTCATAAATGTCATGCGATGACTGGAATGGGAAGGAATGGGAGTGAAGATAGATGGTAGGCAACTACACCACCTCTGCTTCGCTGATGACATCGTTCTAATAACACCAAACATCAACTAAGTGGCACAAATGCTGGCCAACTTCGACCGTGAGTGTGGAAAGGTCGGACCACAGCTGAATCTCACAGACAATGTTTATGAAAAAAGGTCTCGTTCCTGATGTTCCATTAGCTCTCAATGGGACAAATTCTCCGAATGCAACAGCTATGTGTACCTAGGTCGAGAAGTCAACATGACGAATGACCTGGCACCTGAGTTGCTCTGGAGGAAGAGAGTGGCTTGGAATGCCTTCAAGAGTGTCGAAGAAATAGCTAAGAGGATGAAGATCCTAGGCTCCGGGCACATCTCTTTGATTCCACTGTTCTTCCTGCATTATCATATGCCTCAGAAACCTGGGCCCTACGAAAACAGGATGAGAATGCTATTCAGGTCTCCCAAAGAGGAATCAAACGAGCTCTGCTTGAAGTATCACGCTTCACTCAAATGAGAGAAAGAATTTGGAGTTCTGACCTCCAACAATGGTCAAGAATCAGGTGTGCTGTCTCGTTTGCCAAGGCATCAAAAATCAGATGGGCTGGACACATAATGAAATTGGAGACGACTGCTGGACTAGAGCCATTACCGACTGGATTCCACGGGATGTCAAAAGATCACGTGGCCGCCTATGAGATGGTCAGACTTCTTCGTCAAGACCCTGAATGATCAGTTTGAGGCTCTTCGTGTTCCTAGAAAGAGAAGACGCCATTGGGTTACATTATCATGTGACATGGACGAATGGAGGCGTTGCTGGCGCCCGCTGGAGCAAATTGATGAGTAATGGGATGTCAAGTGATCAAATGATAAAGAAATCTTAAACACTTTTTGAACTCTGTTGAATTCAACTCTTTATTTTTCTAAGTTAACTATTTTTATTGGACTTTTCCAATAAAACAACATTAAAATGCTAATGTCAATATTTCTTCTGCCACTCCTCCTTTTAATGTCAATATTTTAAAGCAAATTTAAATGCCTCTAATTAAAACCATTATCCTTTGCAATAAAGTTTTTATGCCAGTCATATACTTTTCTCCATGATTGATATTTAGATAGGTGTGGTATTGAAATACTAATATTCACTGTTTTTTTTTCATTATATGTTACAGGAACATCCCTCATTAGGTCAACTTTCAGAAAAATTAATAGACAACAACATTAATGTTATTTTTGCTGTTCAAGGAAAACAATTTCAATGGTATAAGGTATGTTTATTCTAAAATAGAAAGATTTAGATGTTTGTGTGGACTGAAACTTGGACATATCTTAGATCCATGGTAAAGACACTAAGGTCATTATAATTAGTAGAATTGCACTGAGCATTGTGCTCCCGCTGTTCATCGATTTGCTCAAGTGGGCACCAGTAACATCTCCAGTGTGAGACTTATTGTTACTGTTTCTGTCATATTGTTTTTGGCTTATTGAATATGGCATGGGGAGCTTGCCAGGCTCTGCCATGCAGGCGGGATAGTCTCGATAGCTTGCCAACTATAAATTTGATATTGTGTTAAGTAATACACATTATTTTCTCTTAATTATAAACTCCATGTTTATAATATCTAGAACCAAATGTGGACACTTTTAGGAGTATAGTACTATGAAATGGTAATATTGGAGCGTTTTTATCAGGTGAAAAGTAGTTCAGTTCACACTCCAACTCCGTATAGTTCATTTCCAGAATTCCACTTATAGTCAGGCACATGGGAATAACCCTATTAAACACTAAGATTGGGGAATAACAGAGAGTGATTTGGTTTAATAGAGGAACGAAAGGAATCATGGAATGGCTAACACTATCAGTGCTTTCACAAAGAATAATCTTGTTCTTGTTCAGAATCCTTTGGTCAGAACCATGGTTAGAACAGACAGTATGTCACTCTGGCTGTTCCAAAGACTACCAACCAACACACACCACTCCAGACACACAGACTGCTTTTCAATGTCCTGCTATAGCTTTCTGTGAATAGTCTTCTTACCTCTTTTTCTTCCTGCAATCTGTTTTCTTTATTTCCATGACACTGTGATGACTTCTTCCATTGACTCCCGATGAATACTTTAATATGTTTTTATTTTCCTGTAGGCTGGTATTCCCTCCACAAGCTTACCCAACTACCACATTTATTGTTTGAAAGCATTACTTTATTTTGCATAATTTTTTTAAAAAATGTAATCGCTAAACTAAGAATTACAAAGTTATTCATTATTAAGTTTCAGGCATACAATGTTCCAGCACCAATCCCTTCACTAGTTTCCACTTCCCTCAGTCAATGTCTCCAGTTTTTCTCTCATCTCCAACCTACTTCTAGAGCAGGCACTTTTCCCTTCCACTATTGTCCTAGTGTTCCTCTCCCTAATTCATTCCCCCAACTCCACTACAGAGGCAGGCTTCCTACTGCAGAACTGTTTTCCTGCTCCTTGTTTCTATTGCCTTTTGGCCGTGGTTATTCTCTCATGAAGTTTCTGCACATCCAACATATGAAAGAGATCGTTCTGTGTCTGTCCCTTTCCATCCGACTAACTTCACTCAATATGACACTTTCCATATCCATCCATGGAGCAACAATTTGCATGACTTTATCTTTTCTTCCTGCTGAGTAGTATTCCATTGTGTCTACATACCCAAGTTTCTTTATCCTGTCATCTGTTCTTTTCTTCCTGCTGAGTAGTATTCCATTGTGTCTACATACCCGAGTTTCTTTATCCTGTCATCTGTTCTTAGGCACTTGGGCTGTTCCCAGACTTTGGCTATTGTGAATAGTGCTGCAATGAACATAGGCATGCAGATGGCACAAGACAAGGTTGCCTACTCTCACCACTTCTATTTAATATAGAAGGGAAGTACTTTCAATAGCAAGTAGGCAAGAAAAAGATATCAAGGAAATCCAGATAGCAAAGGAAGAAGTCAAGCTTTTACTATTTACATGTGACAGATGATATTTAGAAAATCCTAAAGACTATGAAAAATGTTCCTAGAAACAATGGAGTTGAGTAGTAAAGTGGCAAGCTACAAAATGAACACACAAAAGTTAATGGCTTTCCTGTAAACAAATAATGAAATAGAAGAAAGAGATGTTAAAAAATCAATCCCACTCAAAATTGTACCTCAGAAAATCAAGCACCTAGGAATCCACTTAAGAGGTGAAAGACCTATACAAAGAAAACAACAAAACACTTCTTAAAGAAATAAGATATTAGGAAATGGAAATATATCTCCTGCTTATGAATTGGGAAGATTAACATTGTCAAGATGGCAGTATTCCCAAAAGTATTATACAGATTCAATGCATTCCCTGTAAGGATACCCATGACATTTTTCAAAGAAATAGATAAAACATTCATGAATTTCATACACACCCCTCCCCAGTCAAAGCGATCCTTAGGAAAAAGAAAATTAGAAGTATCACTTTTCCTAACTTTAAAGTGTACTGCAAAGCAGTGATAATAGACCCTCAGATCAATGGAATAGAACTGAAAACATTACTTTAATAACACAGTTTCTTCCCATAGAAATTGGCAATGCAACTTTAATTCCCTATTTTCCCAAATTTACATATAATTTAAATTTTTAAGTGTAACGTCCACTGACATCCTTAAAAATTGGACTTCTGGCCAAATAAAATGACCCAAACATTTCTGATGATGATAATATCCTCTACTCATTATGTATTTACTCTTGACAGGTACTGAGTTTATTGACATTACTTCATTTCTTTTAAAAACTCATAAAATTCAGCACAGCATAATTAATATACCCATTTTTAAATATGAAGAAGCAAATTCAGGGTGGTTGTATACTTCATCTGAAGTTTCCATTTTCTAACTACCCAAATTCTGTATTTAATCAGTAGGAACTTAATAGTGGAGTTTTTTTCTTAGTTATGCTTCTGCCTCTTTTTTCTGCTATTGTTTCTTGATGTTATCAGTTCTATTGTTTCTCCCTCTCATTTCTAAACATATTTCGCTGACTGATAGACCACAATGCCAAATTTATTATTAAATGAATGAAGAATGAAAAAGCACAGGCTCTGAAAGCCTGACAAGATCCAAGAGTCCTGTGTGTGCCCTTGCGGTCACATATTTTGGTTACCTAGAATTATTTTCATCAAACACTTTCTGGGTTGTAATAGCCTTCAAATTCATTGCCCAAACTCATTTTCCACCTGCCTGCCAAGATGACCTACATAATTCACAAGTGTGACCACAGTACTCCCGGGAGTATTCAAATGCCTTCCTCTGATTTAGAGGACCAACTCTTTAATGTGGCAAATTATGCCATCTAGTCTCTCCTGGTCTTTCTCATTTCACCCCCACTCTACTCTGCCTTGCTCTTCTCCATCCAGTCATGCTTCTTATCTTCCTATACACACACACATTCTCCAAACTCTTTTTGTTGTGCTTCCCTCAATGCCTGTGAGCCCCTTTTCTCTCAGTTCCTGACAGCTGTTGCCCAGCCCTCAACTACTTGCTGGTCATCTTGTTAGAGTTTATGCAAATCTGTTGCAACACACATAACATTTTTTATTCAAATGTATATATTTTTTTAAATTGCCATTTTAAATTCCTGTGAGAGCCTTAAGAATGAAAAATAGGTAGCTTACTAATTTAGCATCTCCAAAGTGGTATACAAGTACCTTAATAAGAATAGATAAATAGTTGTTAAATTTCTGCAAGTGATACATTTTCCCTGTTATCTGAAAGACCAGATTGTTAGCGGCTAAGAAATAGCTGGTTGAGAAAAGGAACTTGATGGTCATTGTTTTGAACAGTAAAGTGAGTTTTAAGAATTTTTAGTCTGATTTCTTATAAATGTGTATCCTTCACTTCAGTTTCTTCTGTGTTCTTACTTTGGTCTACAACTCAGATAAACCTGTGCATATAGTCCCATATAAGTCACGTGCATATACTACTGCAAGTCCACATACTCATTACCATTCAAGATTATATGCTTGACCTATCATCCTAGATTACTTATATATTTCATATGATGTACAACTTATTCATATGTTCCATTCAGCTATATATTCTATTCATATATTCATATTTAGCTCACTGTTAAAGATAAGAATTTTAATGTTTTGTTGCTCACTAAAGCATTGTATCCTACTGTCACTATATAAATTTTGGATATTTTCTAGGACCTTCTACCTCTCCTGCCTGGTACCATTGCTGGGGAAATTGAATCAAAGGCTGCAAACCTCAATAATTTAGTTGTAGAAGCCTACAAGGTATGCATATACTGTGCACTTTATTTTTTCAAACATACCTTAATCCCAAATTCTGTGACAAGGCACAAACTGGCACCATGCCACTTTAAAAAGAGTGGTGGTAAGAGCATTGGTTTAGGGATTAAAAGCTGGAGGATAATCCTGGTTCTGCTGCTAACTTGTCGTGATACCTTGGGGAAATTATTTTAGCTTTCTTTTCCTCATTTGTCTCATGAGCAGGAAATGTAGGGGGACTGGAAGCTACCTAAATTTTCTTCCAAATAAAACATTAAATGAGATACTCAATTATAGCTCTAGAATTCAGTTTATAACCAAGAAATTTCATAATACCTGATGCAATACTTTCTAAAGATAAAGTAAGAAATTCACTTTTTTTTTAAAGCTATAACCATTTCGGATAAAAACAAACTAGCCTGGATTCTCTTAGGAAAATCACTAAATTATTGACAGTTATTTTACCATGTTTATCAAATCCAGTTGATTAAAAAGAAATGCAGAAAAAATACTCTATTTATTGATTTGATGGTTGTATATTGTCTCCAGTATGTGGAAGAGGGTGAGAGATGAAAAGATTGCTCTCTCAACCTAGGTCATTGGTCTCTCAGTACAGGTCATTCCGGTATAAAAGTCTCTGTTAAATTCTTGTCATTATAGTAAATGCTAACTTAATCAGACTAAGAAACAGCTACTTGCTGTACATTTACTACACATCCCACAAGGAGTAGTTCTCCTATATATGTGTGGAAATTTAAAAAAACTAAGCAATTTAACAAACAGTGGAACAGTTAACAAGCAAAACACACAGAATCAGAAAGCATATCTTTCCTTGATTCCAGGCCCCAGGTGCTTTCTCCTGTGAAATAACACCCACTTTTCTTGTTTTACATGATGTCCAAAAAAGGAGCGATAGCACAGCGGGTAGGGCGTTCGCCTTACAAGCGGCCAACATGGCCGACCCGAGTTCTATTCCTCCGCCCCTCTCGGAGAGCCCGGCAAGCTACTGAGAGTATTCAATATGCCAGACACAGTAACAACAAAGTCTCCAATGGAGACGTTACTGGGCCCGCTCGAGCAAATCGACGATCAACGGGAGGGCCTTTACCTTTACCTTTACCTTACCTTGAATTAGGGTCTATAGGTACAGCCCCACTTTCCAAAATGCTGATTTCCTTCCTAATACAATAGCCAAACGGTGTAAATGCTCAAACATTTGTGGAAAATCTTAGATGACTTTTCTCAGAATTTTTTTTTCAGTACAACTTTTGCTTCAATTCAGTTACAGAAAGAAAAATAAGGCTATAGACATAGGATAAAAATGAATGACATATAACATTTAAATTTTTCTCTTTTAAGAGGAAAACATATTGCAAAAAGAAATTGGGGGAAGCCAACAATTTTTCTGCATCTGAAAATACACTGGGTGAAATAAAGAATAGAATCTTAATTCTATTTCTTTCTAGTGTTACAAAAGAAATTAGGGCCAAAGGCAAGCCTAGAGAACTTACAAGAAAAAATCAAGGATGTGTACAATTCATTTCCACTAGTAGCGTTTTCTTAAGAATAATTAAGATAGAGGCTATAGAGATGGTACCAGGGTAAGGGATGTGCCTGGTTTACAGCTTTCCCAGTTCTATTCCTGGCACCATGTATAACGCCCCCCCACACACACTGCCAGGAGTGATCCCTGAGCACTGCCAGGTGTGGCGGAAAAACCAAAAGCAAAATGAAACTAAACAACAAAAGAAAAAGGAAGAATCAAAATGGGAAGGAGCTTACAGTGTTAGAAGTCACCTCATTTTTATAGCATGAAACCAAACAAGATACATAAATAATAAATTTACCTACACCAATAGGAAGAAAAACAGCAGCATATGGTTTCCTGTTCTTTTTTTGCCGAGAACAAGTACGTGATTCTTACTGTGGTTCTTCTTAATCTTAAACAATGGGGGGAGAAACATTAAAAATACAGCAAAAACTTATTATAGATAGTTTTCTTAGTTTAGGGTTTTATTATTTTTTCTCTATTTTCATAAGTCATTTAAATTTTGTTTTGTCTTTCTAGTACAACAAAAACAATTCACAATTTCTTGGATAATTATAAATCATAAAAATGAGTATTTTTGCTGCATTTGTTAGATATTAGAATAGTAAAAATTGGCCTCTGGCTTAATTTCTAGATCCTCAAAATGGATAAAACTTTAGGTACTTTTCACCTATATAAAAATTATTAGTGTAACTAGTTTAAGATTTTTAAGAGAAGCATAATTTCTGAACACTCATTACACTACTAATTTCCTTCTATTTTCCTGGGGAGAGCATACCTGCTGTGCTCAGGGCTCACTACTGATAGTGCTCAGGGGACCATATGGGGTGCCAGAGATTAAACCCAGGTCAGTCTAGTCCATACCAAGCACACTTCCCACTGCACTATTACCCTGGCCCCAGGAGTTTTCCTCTGGTCTATCATCAGAAGTTTCTGTTGGTTCATTGAAATTATTTAATTACGAGATTGATTATACTATTTGATCTCTCTCAGAAATAAGAATGCAGTAATATTATCTCCCCTGATCCAAACAAAATTCACTAATATTAAGAAGTATCTTGTTGTGGAATTTACAATCAGAAATCCAAAGTCAATTATTAATTATAAGAATTGTAATTATACACTTGAGGTAGAAACATTACTTATTAAAGATTTAGAAGTCACTGGAATTTTTTTTTATATCTTTCTACCCACTCACCTTTGGTACATACTTCAGCATTTCCAGTCTTTTTATTTAGAAGTGTAAATTAACAGTTCTGCTCAGTTTCTAAAACTATGAGGTTTAGACTCATTTTAGTCTAGACTAAGTTTACTCAGTTTAGACTAAAATGAGTCTAAACCTCATAGTTTCTAAAACTAAGATTCTTAGTTTTAGAAAATAAAGTACACATAGCTGTGTATATATACACATATATGCATATATGGTACATAAAAATAATTTATATATAATTTATATATTGTAGAAAAATAATTCTATGTACCATATATATAATACATAGAAATAAAATATTTATTATACTTAACCTCTTTTTTTTTTTTTTTTTGGTTTTTGGGTCACACCTGGCAATGAACAGGGGTTACTCCTGGTTCATGCACTCAGGAATTATTCCTGGCGGTGCTCAGGGGACCATATGGGATGCTGGGAATTGAACCCGGGTTGGCTGCGTGCAAGGCAAACGCCCTACCCGCTGTGCTATTGCTCCAGCCCCTTATACTTAACCTCTTATATGTTAAATATATATATATATGGTTATATAATAGCATACTATATTTCTGCTTAATACATGATAGGCACCATATAGATGTTTTTGAATGAATTTATAAATGTATAAAAAAATTTTCTGCCAGGTAAGGAGCCCAATTATGGTAGAAAACATTAGAATAAATTTGATTTACATTAACAATCACCAAGGACTTGGAAAAATCCTAGTAATTTTAGAAAACATCTAGGATTGTAACTACAAGTTGTTCTTATACCTACAGTTTAAACATGACTTCCACCAAGTTTAGTTTTTAAATTTTATCAGTAAAACACACTTTAGCTTTCACAATAGTTTAGTGTGTTTGAAACTAAAATGCTTCTTTAACAGCTATGTCAGAAGCATGTTTGTTTTTAAACTGCCATGATTATACATGTGTTTTCAATGCTTTACTAAAATTTTATTAAGAAATATTTACCAGATTTAAAATAATTATTTTTGTAATACAGGTGAGTGACTTTTGGCATGATCAAAATCCATCATAAAAATGAGTGAAAAATAATATATGTAATGTAATTCAATATTTTTATAGTTCAGTATTTTTATGTATTCCATATATTCAGGTCATTATGTAGAAATTTTATTCATACTTACATAAAAGCAGATTTTGACTCCATTAAAAATTAAATCTAAGCTCAGCCACTAGAAACACAGTAGCCAATAACTCATAAGCCTATCTTAACTCACACTGCATATCAAGGAGAATAGTAACAGTGAACGTGAAGGACTAAACCACACCTCTCACAATGGTAAAGCAACGCAAAAGTCCACCAAACTTTCATATTGAAGAGTCCAGCCCAGATGACACCAACAGTACTGTAGTGTTAGACAACCTCTCTGACAAGGAATTCAGAAGGGAGCTACTTAGGATGCTTAGGGAATTAAAAGAAACAATGGAAAGCAATGCCAATAGAAGACAAGAGGATCTGAAGGCAGAAATGAGGAAAATGCAATCAGAAATGTCAGACCTGAAAAATCTCGTAGGCGAATTGAAAAGCTCAGTGGAAGGCCTCAGCAGCAGAGTAACAGCCGCTGAGAACAGAATCAGTGAGCTCGAAGATGAAGTTCAGAGACTTTCCAGAAAAGAGCAGAAAATGGAAAAGAGACTCACAATTCGGGAACAGATGGCAAGAGAAGATCGTGATGAAGCCAAGAGGGGTAACATAAGAATTATTGGAGTCCCAGAGGGACAGGAAGAAAACCTCGATGAAGAAGAAACTGTCAAAGAAATCATTGCTACAACATTTCCAGAGCTGAAGAAAACTTGTGACCACATTCAGGAGACCCGAAGGGTACCAGCTAGAAGAAATCCGAATAAAAATACCCCAAGACACATTTTGATCAAAATGACCAAAACCTTAGACAGAGACAAAATTCTGAAAGCAGCAAGATCGAAGAAAGAAATCTCCTACAAAGGAGCATCCTTAAAATTCACAGCTGATTTTTCTGATGAAACCCTCATGGCCCGAAAACAGTGGTGGGACATAGTAAAAAGACTCATTGAAATAAATGCCTCCCCAAAAATACTTTTCCCAGCAAGACTCTCATTCATAATAGAAGGAACAACACACAGTTTCACAGACAAACAACAGCTCAGGAACTTCATAGACTCAAAACCATGGTTACAAGAACAACTAAATGGGCTACTTTAAGGCAAGAAAGGCCCCTCAAATACACCAAATTTTAACAGAACAATGGGACAAAATCCCATAACAATAATCTCTCTCAGTGTCAATGGGCTAAACGCACCAATTAAAAGACATAGAGTGGCAGGATGGATTAGAAAATTGAACCCAACATTCTGCTGCCTGCAAGAAACGCATCTCAATAGTCAAAGCAAACACAGACTCAGAGTCAAAGGCTGGAAAACAATCCTACAGGCAAACAGCTCCCATAAAAAAGCTGGGGTAGCCATCCTTATATCAGACCACATCGATTTCAGAGTGAGGAAGGTCATAAGAGACAGTGAAGGCCATTTCTTATTGATCAAAGGATCTGTACAACAGGAAGAACTTACAATAATAAATGTATATGCACCTAATGAGAGACCAGCAAAGTACTTAAAACAACTACTCATAGATTTGGAAAAAGACATCAATAGCAACACAATACTAGTGGGAGACTTCAACACTGCTTTGTCACCTCTTGATAGATCAACCAGACTCAAGCTTAGCAAGGACATACTTCATTTGAGGGAAACAATGGAAGAAAGGGACTTAGTAGATATATACAGGACACTTCATCCACAAAAAGCTGAATACACATTCTTCTCAAGCGTACATGGAACATTCTCCAAGATAGACCACATGCTGAGCCACAAAACATGCCTCCATAAAATTAAGAAGGTAGAGATTGTATCAACAATCTTCTCAGACCATAGTGCGCTGAAATTAGAAGTAAATCACACACAAAAACAGAAAACTAAATCAAACACCTGGAAATTAAACAGTGCACTATTGAACAACGAGTGGATTAGACAGGAAATCAAAGAGGAAATCAAAAGATTCCTAGAAACGAATGAAAATGAGAACACGAGTTACCAAAACTTATGGGACACAGCAAAGGCTGTGTTAAGAGGAAAGTTTATAGCTCTACAAGCATTCCTCAGGAAAGAGGAGCGAGCACACATAAGTAACCTAACCTCACACCTTAAGAGCTTGGAGAAGGACCAAAAAAAGGAGCACAACCCGAACAGGAGAAAGGAAATAATAAAACTCAGAGCAGAGATTAACGAGATGGAAACCCAAAAAACAATCCGAAAGATCAACGAAACCAAACGCTGGTTCTTTGAGAAAATTAACAAGATCGATAAGCCTCTAGCAAAACTCACAAAGAAAGGGAGAGAGAAAACCCTAATAAACCGAATCAGAAATGAAAAGGGGGTCATTACAACAGAAACCACAGAAATTCAGAGGATCTTCAGGGAGTACTTTGAGAAGCTTTATGCCACGGAACATCAAAACTTCGAGGAAATGGATAAATTCCTAGACTCCTACAGACTCCCAAGGCTGAACCAAGAAGACCTGGAATACCTGAACAGACCTATCACCATCAAGGAAATTGAAATGGTAATAAAAAGTCTCCCCAAGCACAGAAGTCCTGGCCCGGATGGATTCACTAGTGAATTCTTCCAAATCTTTAAAGAGGACTTACTCCCGATGCTCTTTAAGCTTTTCCACGAAATTGAAATATCAAAAACACTTCCGAACAGTTTCTACGAAGCAAATATCACACTGATACCAAAAGCAGACAGAGATACCACAAAGAAAGAGAATTACAGGCCGATATCCCTGATGAACACAGATGCAAAGATCCTCAACAAACTACTAGCAAATAGAATCCAACTACTCATCAAAAAGATCATACACTATGACCAAGTAGGATTCATCCCAGGGATGCAAGGATGGTTTAACATTCGGAAATCAATCAACATAATCCACCATATCAACAAAAGAAAAGATATAAAGCATATGATCATATCATTAGATGCAGAGAAAGCATTTGATAAGATCCAGCACCCCTTTATGATGAAAACCCTAGCCAAAATGGGTATAGAGGGGACCTTCCTCAACATAATTAAAGCCATCTACCACAAGCCTACAGCAAGCATCATCCTCAATGGGGAGAAACTGAGAGCCTTCCCTCTAAGATCAGGGACGAGACAGGGATGCCCACTCTCTCCACTGCTGTTCAATATAGTACTGGAAGTACTTGCAATAGCGATTAGGCAGGAAAAAGGTATTAAGGGCATTCAGGTAGGAAAGGAAGAAATCAAGCTCTCACTATTCGCAGATGATATGATACTCTACTTAGAGAACCCAATAACTTCCACCAAAAAACTCCTAGAAACAATAGACTCGTATAGTAAAGTTGCAGGTTATAAAATCAATACCCAAAAGTCCATGGCTTTCCTATACGCAAACAGTGAGAGAGAAGAAAGCAACATGAAAAAAACAATCCCGTTCACAATTGTGCCCCAGAAAATCAAGTACCTAGGAATCAGCTTAACTAAGGAAGTAAAGGACCTGTACAAAGAAAACTACAAAACGCTACTTCAGGAAATAAAAGAGGACATGAGGAAATGGAAAGATATCCCCTGCTCATGGGTCGGGAGACTTAACATTGTCAAAATGGCAATACTACCGAAAGCATTGTACAAATTCAATGCAATCCCTATAAGGATACCCATGACATTCTTCAAAGAAATGGAGCAAACACTCCTGAAATTTATATGGAACAATAAGCCCCCACGAATAGCTAAAGCAATTCTTGGGAAAAAGAAAATGGGAGGAATCAATCTCCCGAACTTCAAACTGTACTACAAAGCAGTAATAATTAAAACAGCATGGTACTGGAACAAAGGCAGAACTGCAGACCAATGGAACAGGGTTGAATACACTGACATCTCTCCTCAATCATATGCTCATCTAATCTTTGATAAAGGTGCAAGTAATGTGAAGTGGAGTAAGGAAAGCCTCTTTAATAAATTGTGTTGGCATCACTGGACGGCTACATGCAAAAAAATAGGCTCAGAACTCTGCCTAACACCATGTACAAAAGTAAGATCAAAATGGATTAAAGACCTCAACATCAGACCAGAAACCATAAGGTACATTGAAGATAAAGTTGGCAAAACCCTCCATGACATTGAAGCTAATGGTATCTTCAAAGATGCCACGCCACTGGCCGAGCAAGTGAAAACAGAGATAGATAAGTGGGACTATCTTAAACTAAAAAGCTTCTGCACCTCCAAAGAAACAGTGACCAAAATACAAAGACAGTCTACAGAATGGGAAAGGATATTCACCGAATACACATCTGACAAGGGGTTGATATCCAGGATATACAAAATACTGGTTAAACTCCACAAGAAGAAAACATCCAACCCCATCCAAAAATGGGGCAATGAAATGAACAGAAACTTTCTCAAAAAAGAAATCCGAATGGCAAAAAAGCACATGAGAAAATGCTCTACATCATTAATCATCAGAGAGATGCAGATCAAAACCACAATGAGATACCATCTCACACCTCAGAGACTGGCCCACATTCAAAAGAACAAAAGCAACCGATGCTGGCGTGGATGTGGCGAGAAAGGGACACTCCTTCACTGTTGGTGGGAATGTCGACTGGTTCAGCCCTTCTGGAAAACAGTATGGACGATTCTCAAAAAATTAGAAATTGAGCTCCCATTTGACCCAGCAATACCACTCCTGGGAATATATCCCAGAGAGGCAAAAATGTATAGTCGAAGTGACATCTGCACTTGTTTGTTCATTGCAGCCCTCTTTACAATAGCCAGAAACTGGAAGAAACCTGAATGCCCAAGAACAGATGACTGGTTAAAGAAACTTTGGTACATCTACACAATGGAGTACTATGTAGCTGTTAGAAAAGATGAAGTCATGAAATTTACATACAAGTGGTACAATATGGAAAGTATCATGCTAAGCGAAATGAGTCAGAAAGAGAGGGATAGACATAGAAAGATTGCATTCATCTGGGGGATATAAAGTAACAAAGTATGAGATTAATACCCAAGAATAGCTGAGATCAGCACCAGGAGGATTACTCCATAACTTAGAGGCCAGCCGGGTATCCTAGAGGAAAGGGCAGTTCAGATAGAGAAGGGAGCACCAAATAAAGGATGTTTGGAGGATCCTCCCAGGAGGGGAGATGCATGTCGAAAGTAGACTATGGACTGAACATGTTTGCCACTCAATGCCTCTTTTGCAGACCACAACACCCAAAAGGAGAGAGAGAACACAGGGCATTGCCCTGCCACAGAGACAGGGGGGATGGGGGGATGGGGGTGGGAGGGATATTATCCATGGTGGTGGAAAATGGGCACTGGTGGAGGGATGGGTATCTGATCATTGTATAATTGAAACCAAAGCACAAAAAATTGTAAATCTACAACTTTAAAAAATAAAATAAAGGGAAAAAAATTTTAAAAAAAATTAAATCTAAAATTATTTAATAGCTTGACTGTTCAACTGCTTACATTAAACTGCTATATTGTATGTAATTTAAAAATAATGTCTCTGCAGAAACTCATTTCAGAAGTCAAAGTTCAGGTGGAAAACCAGGTAAAAGGTGTCTATTTTAATATAACTGCAATCTGTCCAGATGGAGCCAGAAAACCAGGGACAGAGGGATGCCGGAATGTAACAAGCAATGATGAGGTATGTGAATGAGCAATTTTTCTATTTAAAATAAAAAGAGATGACCAGAGAATGAACAGAACCAAAGGTGAAAAAAACCTTGGTTCTAGACTATAGGAATGACAAGACCATGGATGAGAAATGAACTGGGGAAATAAGAAGAAGGTGAACAGAAGTTAACAGGCGAAAGAGTCCAGGGCCTTTGATACATCAATGGTGTAGAGGTATGAAATTGGTATATATAAGTATAAATCACGGAACTATATATGCAGCAAGCATGGGACCCAACTTACAATAATTCAACTTTAAATGGCTAGAGGTAGGAGGGAACCTGGGGATAATGGTGAAAGGAAGTTGATACTGCTTGTGGGATTGGTCTTGGAACAGTGTTTTGAACACATTTGTGAATCAGGGTTCCTATTTTTTTAATTTGTTCAAAAAGATAAAACAAAGGAAGCTGTTTAGCATGCCATGTTACACAAAACATAAGCCATTCTAAAAATCTTTTTTTGCTACTGTCTCCATGAATCTTATTCACTTTAAAATAAATTCCTTGGATCTTCTCAAGATTCCTATTTATTTTAACTCTCAAATAAAATATGTATTGTATCAAGTGCTTATTTAATGATAACTTTAAATTTAGGTATCAGTCATTACAGTTTTAAAAATCATATCTCAAACACAACGTGGTTCACTGATAACTTTTAATTCAAATTTGAATTTTTTCAAAGTGATGTAAAATAAAAGAATCCATAGAAGAGAATGAGAGTGAAGGGACAGTTGATAGACTGTAGCACCATAGCATTGTCCTCCCATTGTTCATTGATTTGCTTGAGCGGGCCCAGTAATCTCTCCATTGTGAGACTTGTTATTGTGTTTGGCATATCGAATACTTCACTGGTAGCTTGCCAGGCTTTGCCATGTGGGCGGAGTACTCTCAGTAGCTTGCTGGGCTCTCCAAGAGGGGAGGAGGAATCGAACCCGGGTCGCCTGGGTCAGCCGCGTGCAAGGCAAACCCCCTACCTACTATGCTATCGCTCCAACCCAGTTGATAGACTAAAATTATAAAATCTTTTATGCTATGATTCCCCCTATATATTCATAATGATTAAGGAGGAGGAAGGGAAATTTAAGAACAATTAAAAAGAAGTGACATCATTTAGCTTAAAGGAGATAAGATTCAAAACATGAGGCGGCCAACCCGGGTTCGATTCCCAGCATCCCATAAGGTCCTCTGAGCACTGCCAGTAGTAATTCCTGAGTGCAGAGCCAGAAGTAACCCCTGTGCATCGCCAGGTGTGACCCAAAAAGCAAAAAAAAAAAAAAAAAAAAAAGTAAAGCCCAGATTATAGTATCATCAGGAAACAGGGCAGGGAGCTAGGGATTCTACTTGGATAGGCATAACAGAGAGCAAATACACAGAAATCTACTATCAAAGGGAATTCTTATTGGATGAATTGATTTCCAGTTGAGTCAGTTACTTCTGTTTTAATTACCTCATTTTTAAATGTGTAGGTGACAAGAGGTTTCTTCTTTTCACCTCTATAAAGTTATATACTATTTTAGCAGTGTCGTAGCACTGTGCTCCCGTTGTTCATCGATTTGCTAGAGGGCACCTGAAACGTTTCCATTGCAAGACTTGTTACTGTTTTTGGCATATTGAATATGCCAAGGGGAGTTTACCAGGCTCTAGCGTATGGGCGGGATACTCTCGGTAGCGTGCCAGTCTCTCTGAGAGAGACGGAGGAATCGAACCTGGGTCATGCAAGGCAAACGCCCTACCTGCCTTGCTCTGGACATTATTTTATAGAAGGAAAAAAGAGTACTAAAAGAGATAAAAGGTCTTAGGGTTCTAAGATTGAACACAGAAAAATCTTCCTTCTCCTTTGGTTTGAATATATTTCTTAATCTTAGCAAATTTAAAATAATAATTGTTCCAATAAGCTTTCTATTTTAAACGAATTATTGCTAGTTTCTAATTCTGTAAGCCCCACCACCATTATCATGCCTGGGGTTTTGATCAAACAGCATTGTACACTTGTTTATTTAAAACATACTGATTTCTATTAAATATGAAGAAAATTTGTACTAATAAAAAGTAGCACTGTTTCATTCGTTCCTTTTTGTTTGTTTTTTTGTTTTGTTTTTGGTTCACACCTGGCAATGCTCAGAGCTTGCTCTTAACTCTTTGGCTGCTCAGCACTCATTCTGACACACTCAAGGGACTATATGGAGTGCCAGGAAATTACCTTTCCACTGTATTATCACTCAAGCCCCAGGCCTATTTCTTTTTGAGAAAGCATGTCCTCTTAGAAATAGCTCTTCCTTTCAAATTCAGTTTTTGCAAAATGATTTTCTTTATGTCTTAAATAAATCTTTACATCTCTTGTCCTTTGGTCAGCCTTTTTTCTCATATTCCACTGAGTAATACAAACAGTTTGATTCTCAGTAGTAGACATAGGTACTTTTACATATACATGTTTCAAGTTTTGTTCTCCTGTTATTGGCAACAAACACATTATGCTACACATCTATTAATTCTTAATGTTCTTTTATTTTTCAGAAACCTTAACACTCATAAGGACAAAAAAATCAACTATCCTAATTTTAATTTTATAAAACAATCTAGTCCAATTACATACATATAAGGGCTGGAGCAATCGCACAGTGGGTAGGGCATTTACCTTGTATGTGGTCAACCCGGGTTCGATTCCCAGCATCCCATATGGTCCCCTGAGCACCACCAGGGGTAATTACTAAGCGCAGAGCCAGGAATAACCCCTGTGCATCGCCGGATGTGATCCAAAAAGCCAAAAAAAATTACATATATAAATATAAAAGCTTAAATTTTTATATTTTAAATCATGTGTAGACATTTGGGCGGTTCATAGTATATAAATTTTGTTGGGGATTCATACATGCGATTTGCAATGTATACATGCATATAAAAATATATGTGATATCTATAAAAATATTAATCTCTATATTTATCTCTAACCCTATTTATCTCTGAATATGGTTGTCCAATAGGTTTTTCCCTTTCATCTCTAAAGTTATAGGACATTATTTTATAGAAGGAAAAAGAGTACTGAAAGAGATAAAGGGTCTTAGGATTCTAAGATTTAACAAGCAAATATGGTACATCCCAACTCAAAATCCTAGCATAAATTATTTTTGTTATAATAGATCTTAATCCAGTATGAAAAGAGATGATTTTATTTGCTAATGTATCTAAAAATCATAGGTGGCTTAAAATATATATGTATATTAAACAAACCAAATTGTACAATTAAAAAAAAGAAAAATTTTTCAGAAGAAATTCTATTCTCATGAAGAAAATTAATTATATTCAATGCAGCGCCTTAATTCTGGTCTATAATTTTACTGTGACACAGATACAACTTTGTATTTAAGATGTAAGAGCAAGAGCCTTAACTCTTTTCCTTTGAGTAACTCAGAAGAATCCTCATCTTTTTCTTCATTAGCACCGTGTATAAAATAAAATTTAACTCCAAAACTTTACTTGGACCCTAGAAAACAGGAGCAAAACTGCTCTTTTGGGCATTGCAATGAGTGTTTTAAACTAGTAGAACAATTTATCTTTGGTTAATTTAATATATCCTTACTGACAATATTCAATGATTCAGATTTTAAAGACAATGTAGAAAACAATCTATTCTCTGTAAATTTTAATAAGAAATCAATTGATAAACATAATCATTGGAAGTGAATTAAACATTTTATACCTTGTATTTATGTCTATGTAATGTTAAAATATGGGAAATTATTAATAATTGCATCCTTTAACTGCTGAATAAAAAATAAATCACATTTTAAAAGGATATTATATTTTACATTTGAAAGTATACATGAGCATTTTTACGGATAGTATCAATTTCTAAAGATGGTATATTAAAGAATGTCATTAAGAAATACAATGCTGGTAATTAGAACAACTAAGTTCTATGTTTTTTGTTTCAACCCCCCAATTTAGATTCTTTTCAATGTAACAGTTACCATGAAAAAATGTGATGTCACAGGAGGAAAAAGCTATGCAGTAATCAAACCTATTGGTTTCAATGAAACCACCAAAATTCATGTACACAGAAGCTGCAGCTGTCGGTGTGATGACAGCAGAGGACCCAAAAGAAAGTGTGTGGATGAAACTTTTCTAGATTCCAGGTGTTTCCAGTGTAACGAAAATAAATGTCACATTCACGAAGATCCATTTCCTTCTGAAAGCTGCAAGTCACACAAGGATCAACCTGTTTGCAGCGGTCGAGGAGTCTGTATTTGCGGGAAATGTTTATGTCACAAAATTAAACTTGGAAAAGTGTATGGAAAATACTGTGAAAAAGATGACTTTTCTTGTCCCTATCACCATGGAAATCTGTGTGCTGGTAAGTATAAATATATAATTACATCTTTTACTAGTCATTAAGCTCACATATAGTTTAAAATATCTTTAAATCACACCTTATAATTTCCAATTCTAAGTCAGATTTTTTTTTCACTCTAAATTTTCAGTCTGTGAAGATAGGCATGGGAGGCAAATTTACACATGGCTTGAATATTTTAAATTATTTTGTGCAGGAGATTTTTGAAAATGAAAACCCCAAATTAGTTATAATTCTCAAGTATTTTTTGACCTTGGACACAATACACACCAGAAAATGAAAATGACTGATGATGTCTGACAGGTTTATTCCAGAAAAATCTGATTCATTCTGATAGTCACCCCATCAAGTTTGCTCAAGGATAATGAGCTGTAAAAATACATTTTCATTCACTGGAAAATTCTTAATGCATTTTTGTAGGTTTGTAATAATTTACATTTCTTCAGTTTAGTTTTGGACCACCAAGAACTGAATTGTCAAAGGAGAGCATTATTCAAAAGTACTGCTTTAATATGTAATCCAGTCTAGTCTCAGAGGCCCTATATGGTCCAAATTTAAAACTGGAAGGCTGGAGCAATAGCACAGTGGGTAGGGCATTTGCCTTTCACGTGGCTGACTGGGTTTGATTCCCAGCATCCCATATGGTCCCCTGCGTACCGCCTGGGATAATTCCTGAGCGCAGAGCCAGGAGTAACCCCTGTGCATTGCCGGGTGTGATCTAAAAAGCAATAATTAATTAATTAATTAAAGAAATAAAACTGGGGGGAAAAAAAAACAACCCAAACTATCAATGTCCCTTTGGTTAATTCATCTTACTGCCACCTAGAGGATAGATTCCAGAAAACCTATGCCATTTTTGAAAATATTATGGAATACTGTTTTTCAATAAATCAGGTTTGCTTTTCTATCACAGTGTGCTAAATGCACTTACTATAAAAACACGATATTGTTTTCACTTTAGTAACAAATATTGACGAATTGTTATAAGCATATAGGAATTAGTAAACCTATACAAAATAAGTTTCCTTGTATAAACTAAATATTTGCTTATGTAAGTTACATATATAATTGCAAACTCTTATGTCCACAGAATATTTTATGTTCTGAATTTTATTCAATTGTACATGATATCATGAATAGAATAAATTATAGTTGACTTTAGAAAAAACTGTAAGGGCTGCTAATCAGAGCTAATCCTGTTTGGGACAGAGACGATAAATAATTTTGAGATAATTTATAGCTGCTAACTTCTCCAAAGAGTTAAATAGCTGCGTTATAGACATTTTAATACATCAAAAATCCCAGTCTCTGTTTAGAATGATATATCAAAAATCACCATGTTGGCTTTTTTATATGATCATGCATAGTTGAGAATCTGTTTTGAATTATTTCTGTATAACTTATGAGCACAAACTGTAGACTGACAAGCATTTTCTTCACTAGTCTCCTTTGGGAATAAAAACACATGTTCGCAGGTCAGCTGGCTAGGATTAGGCGTGCAGTTTGCATATGGGGATTAGAGTCTGGCAGGCATTTGTTTGGCCTGGATCTCATTAGTTTTACAGTTAGCAAATTAAACTGATCCAACAGTAGACGATGAAACAATTACTCTGTGAGGTGCTCAGCAATATCTGGAGGAGTACAGCTAGGAAAGGAGGAAGAGAGGGAAGGTAGGGAGGCAGAGTGGGCAGAACAAAGGAATAGGGAGAGGAGAAAGAATGTGGCCAAATAAATGCTATATAACACTGTAAAATGAGCCTTCTCTTGGAGATTTCCAGTTAAAACAGCATATTAAAGTTTTCATCCTTCCTTTATTCCAAAACTACATATTCTTTTCCTCAAATTGTCTGAAAATACCCCAGCCCAAAACATGCAGACACACTGTCTTGCTTTCACTTTTCTATTGGCATCTAGTAAGAGTTAAGAGCTTAGAATATGTCAGCTAATTAATTCCTAAATAATATCTTGAAGATTTGAAAATATTAGTTCCACTTCCAGAGATATGATGTTGAAACATGGCACTAGAATTAAAATACTAGAAGACTTTGCTCATATACCTTCAAAGTCACTTCAGGCCCTTTGCAATAATGAGAAATTCTGAGGATAAATTATGGATGTTATTAATCAAGTACCAGTATGCCAGATTTCAAGTGTGACAATTAACATCACTTTGGGTTTTGTAGCTTCTTTGTATTGGCATGTTTTAATTTAAAACTGACTGTACAGTGACCTTCAAGTCATCAGGCAATCTTTGCCACTGGGTGGACTTGACAACTACCGGCTTAACAAAGGAGCCTTGGGAGATTGTCTACAGTAGGACAGTTCTGAAAACGACCCTCCAAAGACCTGGCATTGTTTATGTCAGACAAATAGGAAACGAAGCTGTTTCCATTCACTTCACTGTCAGTGTGTTTCCATGGAGATGAGGAGAATCCATGTTTGAAAACACTTCACAAAGTCAATGACCCCAATAACTCAGGTCCTGGAGTGTCTTTGTTACAGGGCATGGAGAGTGTGAAGCAGGCAGGTGCCAGTGCTTCAGTGGCTGGGAAGGGGATCGGTGCCAGTGTCCGTCGGCATCGGCCCAGCACTGCGTCAACCCAAAGGGCCAAGTGTGTAGTGGCAGAGGGACATGTGTATGTGGCCGGTGTGAGTGTACCGATCCCAGGAGCATCGGGCGCTTCTGTGAGCACTGCCCCACATGTCACACGGCCTGCGGGGAGAACTGGTATGTATATTCTGATTCCAAACAGAAGCAATGCTCATTACAACTACATTTCTCTTTTATTTTTCTCCTGCCTTCCTTCTTCTTAGAATATCCGCATCTTCTCCAGATAAATTGAAATCATCATGCTAAAAAAGAAAAGGATGGGGGAAATATAGGAATTAGAGGACTCCAATCTTTGACCATTAAAGAACTGAAGAAGTATCAGACTTTTGGAAAACCCTGTCTTAGTATCTTTTTTTTTTAATCCTGCCCGCACTGCAGAGCCTGGCAAGCTCCCTGTGGCGTATTGGATACGCCATAAACAATAACAACAAGTCTCACAATGGAGACGTTACTGGTGGCCACTCGAGCAAAATCGAGGACAGTGCTACAGTGCTATATAATAATAATATTCATTGTTCATAAAAGCTCATTACGTATTTTTTGCCAGCATACATAGAACATTGTGTGAATACCTAATGTGATGATTTAAGTGCTTCATGCTTCCCAGCTTATCATTATTTCCTTATTCAAGCTAGAGCAAGTTGTTGAAATTCTCTAGCTGAGCATCTTGATTTTGAAAGTGAGGATACTAAGAATAATATAGGGCCAGTGATATGGTACAAAATCAAAAACCAAAATAGTTATAGTAATGACACTATTTTGCTCGTGTCCTGTGAAAAGAGAAATTAGCAAATTGCGGGTGATCGGACATACCCAGCTGTGTTAAGGGCTTACTCTGGCTCTGTGCTCAGTAAATCACTTTTGTCAGTACCGAAGAGACCATATTCAGTGTCGATCAAACTGCATTGGCTACATGAAGGCAAGTGCTAAACCCGCGTACTATTTATTCAGTCCCCAAAATTAGAATATTTATGTTAAACAAAGCAACAACTCACATTTGTAGTAGATCTATAATTAGAATGAAGTTACTAGGTATTACAGTCCTTTATTTTTATTATTTGAAATATAAAGAATGATAGGGACTATGAAGCACTCTAGAAATAAGTGATGAATAGTTGAAAGTAACTACATATTAAATTCCACTCCCTATGTTTTCATTTGTAAACTTTTTAGTTATAATATACTCTTTTCTAAAATACCTACACTCAGTTTGTTTGGGGGAGGTGGCAAGGATATCTTCATTTCCTAGAGATTTTGTCTTCAACACAGAAAATTCATGACTGTGATTTTATACATTATTATAGTATTTTAAATTATAAGAATAGAAACTTACCAGAGAATTCAGACAAAATTATTAATAAATGTCACATATTTCTTTCCCAGTTTTATAAGACTGCTGTCCTAAAGCAATATTCTGTTAGTTTCTTGCAGAAAATATTTTAGGCTACAACCCTTTAAATGAGTAAGTCTTTTCAATTCTCTTTCCCTGTACAGGAATTGCATGCAATGCCTTCACCCTCACAATCTGTCTCAGGCTCTACTTAATCAATGTAAAACTTCATGTGCTCTTGTGGAACCGCATTTTGTGGACCAAACAGCAGGTAAACAAAGTTTAATAATCAAGGCAGTAATGAGTATTTATAGAGATTCCTGTTTACCAAAAAGGCTCATATTTAGTATCCTACAAGAACTAACTGCATTGTATTTTTGTTTTCTCAAACACGGTACCCTATGAAATCAACTCAATATATTTACCATTGTTTGGTTGAATTATTAGGTCTCCAGTCTTAACTACCCTGCTAAATTGCCATGCAGTGCACCACCATGATAGTTTATAAAGCTGATTTTATTTTTCCTTCAAATTTTATTTTATTTATAGGGTTGTTCACAATAATTTATTACATTCAATATTCCAACACCAATCTCACCACCAAATTACACCTTACCTACCACCATTATTTTGAATTTCCAAACCATCACCCAAAACAGGCCCTAAATAATTTATTTTGTATTGCTTGTTATGAATGATTCTCTAAAAATGATCCCAAAAAGTTTCCTTAGAAGAAAGAGTGTGAAGATTGTTGTATTCCACCCTAGAGCCATTGAGCCCTTGTATAAGAGATTACTAATGTGTTGTTACAGGATGAGCCTTGTGCGCAATTTTTTTTTAAATTGAGATTGGTTGCATGCTATCCAATGTTTGTGGCTTCTGGTACATCAGTGGTAAATGTGACTGTGCAATACAGGAATTCTAAGATTTTTAAAAAGGTCATACAGCTGGAGTTAAATTTTTAACTGGATGGTGATTTTGGGTTCTGAGGCATCTCTGCAGTTAATTTTCTAGAGTTCATATTGACTGAAGAATAAGTTTCCTCTGTGGAGCTTATTTCTTCCTTATTGATGAGTTGTACCATATCATCTTTTGTAACACAAACTTGCTTCTGATTATGACCTTCCTCACATCAGATTAAAGACTTTTATGTTACAGTTGATGCCACAAAACTCTTAATATCAATGATTTGCTTTTAACAAATAAGCAACTTTCAAAAGGTCTGTTCCTTTCCTGTAGTTTCTATTCTGAAATGACTGAAATTAGGAGTTAATGATTATAAAGGTGGCACAATGGAAGGAATATAGAACCTCTAGGCTTAAAATGCTGCTTAAGGCAGGTCCTTTCAGGCTATTAGAAAACAAATATTTGTTCTTGTACAAAATTCCACAAGCCTCAGTTTCCTCATCTGTAAGAACAAGATGATATTAACTTCTGAAAGCCGTGTAAGATTAAGTAAACCCACGAGCATGAAAAAAGTTTGTAAAGTATGAACCAGAAAAATAGTACAGCAGGTAAGAGAGTTGGCTTACACACGACTGGCCCGAGTTCGATATTTGGCACCTTTAAGATCCCCTGAACCCCACCACAAGTAATCCCTGAGCGCAGAGCTTGAAGTAATCCCTGAGCTCTGCTGGGTATAGCACAAAAACAAAAAAAAAATATGTAAACTAAAAGGTCACACATAAAGGGGCATGGATGTGCAATCTGTGTTCAAAGATCATTATTAGATAAAAATTGGTTTGAACACCAAAAGCCAGCACCCACTTGATTCAAGGATAAGAAATTGAACTACATGTGAATTTGAAATTTGAAATGTCTTCATTGAAAATATTTCTTCCTATTCTAGTCTCTCCCCCAGCCTACAAATAATTCTAGCTTTTAGAGGGATTAAACAAAAAGGATAACTTTTTCCACAATTTTGCTTCTTTTCCCCCTTGTATCCATACTGATCTATCCATAATAAAGTTGGCTCTGAATAGAAACCATGTGCTGGCAGCTGGGGCTGCTGCAGTGACTTCAGAAAGCCAAGGGCCTTTTCTAATAAATAAAGTCTTACTGTTAACATGCCATTTATTATGTTAAGTAAACAACCCTTCTCTGACCTAAGTGTGATTACAAAAAATATTCCCTTAAAACTCCTCCAGTGAAGCCCTTGCTTGACCTAAACTAATAAAAGATTTGTGGCCGGAGCCACGTGGTTCTCCAGAATGATATTTAAAAGGGCAAATTTGTGTCTTGGAAGTGTGCTATTTACTAGTCCGTAAATTTATCAGTAGCTAGGGGGCTCCCCTCTCCATCACATTGATTGTGCCAGGAAAGGGCATTTGGTGGCCACCTCTATTATCTCTCTACTCAGTGACACTTGAAGGATGCTTTTTTTTTTCTGGCCATGTTCTTCCTAGGAGAAAACCTAGTAAATGGGATCAAGTTTTGTGCCTCCTTTGAGGATCTGCCTAAACTGACTGGATATTTCTAAGTCAGCAAAGGGAAATAACAGCCTTTCAGAATAAAAGGTGGTGATGTCACCTGTAGGGAACTGTGGAAGATTCCAAGGAGCCATTAATAGAGCACCTTTAATAGAGGATCTTGGATTTTTCTACCTGTTTGTGGCCAACAACAAAGGTAGACTTGCACTTGGAGCTTCTATTCTGATTTATAATTTCTTGTGCCTCCACATAGTCTTTGCTTCTAAGAACCTTATAATAACCGTAAGAAAATTGGGCTCTGTTAAATCTTCCCTCATCAGTGACTTGCCTTTGTTACTAAACTATTGGATTATTTACAAGCTTGCTTGGTCATCCCTGGGAAGTTAGACACAATTCACCCATGAATGCTCTGTTCTGAGCTTTGGCAGGTTCCCTTCTGAAAGACCATCTCAGAGAGATCTTCACACACACTGAGGTGAAGTCTCCAAGTCTGAGGAAAATACATGTCTCTAAAGGCTATGAAACAATTTTGTAAGTGTGGGGCAGTGTTGAATTTTGTGGAATTCTTGAAGCTTATGCAACCATGCTTTTCCAAGATTAGGATAATACCTCTGAGACCATAAAGCCTGCAGATTGCCCAAGTAGAGTTAATAGCCAAAAATCTGGTGTTAAAAGAGACCTAGCATTCTCTTCCTCCTACCACAGCATTTTCCTTTTCAAAAGCAATATTTAATCTTTAAACACACACACACACACACACATACACACACACACACACAGGAATTTTTATAGGCAAAATTGGATAGATTTAGTTGACAAGTAAAAAATAATTTTTTGAAAACTGAGACTTTTTGCGTTCTCCTGAACACTATTTTCTGAGCAAACCTTATGTAATATTGAAAACACATACTACAATTTCAAAGGAAATATTTGTCTATTAGAGAGTATAGATTTCCCTCACTCACCAGCCTGCATCCTTGATAGGCACGGTTTTAAGTTTTATTTTCCTATTTTGGATCTCATGCTTTTAGTTTTGTTTATTCTATGGTTCAAAAAGATATTTCACAGCTCTATGCCACCAATGTGTCCAAGACTCCTACCTTCACCTCTCCTCCCTGTTGCCTCTCATCCACTTCTTACTCCCCTCCTTAATGTATTTTCTTCCCTTTCCTCATTTCTGTAATTTATAAACCAAAGTAATCTGGGTATTCCACCCCCCTATTAATATCTGGCATTCCCTTGTCTTCTTGTTCTATATACTGTAGATTAATAAAATCATTCAATATTCGTCTTTCTTCTTCTGATTTACGTCACTTGACGTGATACCCTCCAGTGCAAGTTATAGTGAATTACATGTTTTCATTCTTCATTGCAGCTGCATAGAATTCTATTATATGTGCATACATAAATATACATATGCACACGCGTGTGTGTCTATATATATATTTATACATATCCCCCCCCCACACACACACGTATATAAATACCTTCACTAACCTTTCAACCATCATTGGACACATATCCTTTTGAACGAATTTTTAAATCTTATTTTACAGTTACTGATCAATATACACTTTACAAAAATTACCTTTCTCTCTGTCATGGACAAAATTATACCTTCTTAAGGGACTGGAACATATTCAAGTTACTATAACGAAAAGACTCAATCTGCAAAGAAATAATCTTACTAAATACTCTTTTGAGAGTTTACTATTAAACATTTAATGATATGTACTCATTCATTAACAGTATTGGAAACAACACACACAACTTAAAAGAGAAAAAAACAAAGGTTCCTGCCATAGAAACAGTCAGGGTTGTGGGAGGGAAACTGAGGCTATTGGTGGAGAGAAGTTGACACTTGTGAAGGGATTGGTGTTGGAACAGTGTATACATGAAACCCAATCATAAATAACTTTCTAATTCACAATGATTCAATAAAAAATTTTAAATGATAGTAATAAGTGTGTAATTAAACTTAGAGTTTAATTTTTGAATCAACAGGAATGGTATAAAAATATAAATCTATTTCTCTGATTCTATTAAATCAGATGATGAGCACTGTTTACTTGTTAGTTCCTCTGGTTAGCTCATTCCAGTTTTTCAAATAATTTATTTGTTTATTTCACTACAGAATGTTTCTCCAACCCAAGTTACTTGAGAATATTTTTCATCATCTTCATAGTTACATTTCTGATTGGTTTGCTTAAAGTCCTTATCATTAGGCAAGTGATACTACAATGGAATAGTAATAAAATTAAATCCTCAGCAGATTACAGAGTGTCAAACTCAAAAAAGGTCAGTAAATACTAAAAATGAAATACCATTGATATCTCATTATCTGTTTTTAATATTTTGGGCTTTAATTAATGATTATATTTCTTTTCCATCAAGGACAAGATGATCCTACAAAGCGTTTGCACAAGAGCAGTAACCTACCGACGTGAGAAACCCGAGGAAATAAAAATGGATATCAGCAAACTAAATGCTTGTGAAACTTTCAGGTGCAATTTCTGAAAAGATTCTTTAAGAATGTACTTTTTGGGAAACTGGATTTTTAATAATTGCTCCTAAAAAACACAGAAGTTTAAGAAGTCACAGGAAGATACAGTGTCTTCTAGATCAAGTTGGTTGCTGGTTGTCAATCCAAGACAGACAAGTATCCTCATCACCCTGTGACTCACATTGCTGCTCAATTTTTCAGAGGAAAACAACGTGTTTTACTACTGTTTGAGACTAGTGTCATTGTAGCACTTTACTGTAATATATAACTTATTTAGATCAGCATAGAATGTAGATCATCTGAAGAGCACTGATTACACTTTACAGGTACCTGCCATTTTTACACTTCCCAGAGAGACAATGCTGTGTGGGAGATTTGGCATTGTGTCACTACAAGGGTACAGTAATCCCTGCACCTAACATTCGGATGAAACAGAGATAACCAAGCAGATAGATACTAATATCGCCAAGTACATCATTAATTGGCAGAGAATAGATAAGAATAGCTAGATGAATAAATGGTTAGTGCTTCACTCCTTCAAGAGGTAAACAGATAAGACATTTGTCTTGAAAAATAGTGCTTTTGAAACTGTGGTTTTAGGCATTCTTTTTTCTTTTTACAAGATGGATACTAATTCCAATATTTTCTTCTCTTTGCCTACAAATTTTGTTTTTCTTTCTTACATGATAAGTTTATATATGTCACACATGACTGGATTAAATAAGTGCTATGTTACTACTGCCAGAAAAAAAAAAGTCTAATAATACAATGTCACTTTATTAGAATACTAGTTATAAAAGCTGAATGTTTAATAAGGGACACTGTATAATAACATCAAAATCTGAAGAGCTTTGTTTGCAGACATGTGGTTTTGTATCTTCTAATCTGTAACTTGGATGTTTCATCATTTTGTTTAATGAACAGGTTGAAATTCACAGATATTTAGAAACACTTCCTCATCAAAGTGCCACACCTTTGAGTGAGTTTGGTCAGATACATATATTCCAAGTAAATATCAATATTTTTCTAATTATAAGCTCTATTATTTTTGTCCTTCAGCACAACCTGACATTCTTTCCCTGAATCACAGCAACTTTCCCTTACAAGAATCGATAAAAATAAAAAAACTGGGAGAGGATAGATAATATCTTAGAAATAAGCTAATTCATCCCTTTAGTTAGTCAGGGAACTGAGACTCAGAAATTTTAAATGCTTTTTTAAAGACCTTCCAAGTGATTAAGTGGCGACATTTGAAAAGTACATCCATTTTCTTACTACCAGCCTAGTGTTGACTATACATATGCTACCTCGTGAATTTTAAAATAGTAAATTGGCAAGTACTTTTAAATGTGACTAACTAAAGTCTTGAGGCTTTGGATATGAAAAATTTTGAAAACAAAACAGAAAAGAATAATTCAAATTGAATTGTTCATAGTTGGCTTTCACTTGATCCTGCTAGTCAGCTTTTAGAAGACTATAGGGTCCTAAAGGAGGGGAATGACACCATCCATTTCCTGTACACAGAGAAGCTCCCCTCCCCCTTCCCCCCACCGTGTTACACAGTACTCAGCTTGAGAGCTTGATACAGGGGCTTTTGTCTTCATATGCAACCAATTTTATTGGCTTAAAGTCCAACAGTCCAAAGTTTCACAGAACTTTGCCTGTGGATAAAAAGAATTTATTTTAAATGTATAATTATCTTCCCAGATGTGCTGTCTTCCCACACTTGCATTAATCAAAGAGCTATCTATTTGCATTTCAATGAATATTCAACCCCACTCCATATTCTAAACTTAAAAAAGGATTTAAAGTGGTATAATAAGTATTGTTCTGGAGTCAATAAACACAGCAGCTACATCAGCCTCTTCCTACCATGAAGCAATTATGTGCTAAATTGAACTGTATTCCTTCCCCCAAACGAGAGACTGGGGACATTAACACACTTCAGTACAGTGACTCATTCCAGGAAGATATCTTAGATGAGTGGTTTTTAATCTCTGGTCTATAGACCACAGATATGTCTGGCCAATCCTCAAAAAAAATTGATTTTCCACCTCTAGTCCATAGACCAATGCTTGTCAACAGGTGTAAAAGACTGAAACCCACTGCATCAAGGATAATGTAAAAATATTCTGCAGTCTCCCTGTCACACAGAGCATCCTTTTGAAATAGAAACATAAATGGAAACCTTATATCCTACAAAAAGTGGAAAAGAAACGTTTATAAAAATGCTGCCATTAAAAAAACAAACAAAAAACATCTTGATGTCCATAAACTAATTTCCATGTGAAATAAATTACCAATAAGAGCATAATAAAATGAAACTCTTAAAATGTACACTCTCATTAGTTTGCACTAAAATTGTGATGAACCAAGGCTGTTATCACAGGAAGGGACAACTTTCTGAAAAACAATTCAATGCTAGATGAGGATTGTGGTTAAGCTTGCGATGTCTTGTGCTTCCTTTTTTAAAAATTCTTTTTACTTAAAGTTCTAATTCTTAATGGTTTTCGAGTTTATATCTTACTTGAATAATTGATATTTTTCTGTATAATGGCCTGTGAAAAGAAAATTAATATTTCACTAGTTAGAATCTATTAAAAGGTAATGGAAAACAGGGTACTCTTAGATTAAATAATTTATGTAAATAGAGGATTTTTAAAGTTAAGATGACCATAGGAGCCTTTTGAAATTCAGTGTATTAAACACAAGTAATAAAATTTTAAATGGCTAACAAAATTTAGAACTTGAAAAATACTTCTGGTACAACAGCATTTCTGTGCCCTAAAGTATGTAATGATTATAGAACTGTGCTATGCACGCACGCGTGCGCGCATATACACACACACACACACACACACACACACCAGAATATATTTGTATGCCTTTTATTCCTCTGGGGGCATCTTTATACTACACAGTGCATGGATCTATAAACATGTGATAGCTATATGGAATTTTATTAAGTATATTAAGTCATAAACATTTTCTGCAAAACAAAAAAATAAATCACAAAAAGTCATGTCATAACTATTCAATTTAGTTCTTTTTATAAAGTTTTTTTTTAATCTAAGGTTAAACAAAATAGACTTTTCTGGAGCCAAAATTTTCAAAACTCATGGTTAGTGGATACATGAGATGCACTACTTCACCACGGAATAAATTAAATTAAAAAAAATATATATATATATATGTATTTATCTTCATGGGCTGGAGTGATAGCACAGTGGGCAGGGCGTTTGCCTTGCACGCAGCCAACATGGCCAGCCTGAGTTCGATTCCTCTTGCCCCTCTCGGAGAGCCCAGCAAGCTACTGAGAGTAACTCACCCGCACGGCAAAACCTGGCAAACTACCCGTTGCTTATTCAATATGCCAAACACAGTAACAAGTCTCACAATGTTACCAGGCCCGCTCGAGCAAATTGATGAACAACTGGAGGACAGTGACAGTGACAGTGATTTATCTTCACAAAATCATGACAGTAGGCGTCCATGACACACCAGTATTATTGTGGTTTACACAAATTTTTCTCCACAGAAATTTATCTCTCCCAGTACCTGGTAGAATAGATTAGACAAAATAACTTTCCTTCCTATCCAGATTTTTAACCTTACATTTACCTAAGAGAGTGCCCCAAGGCTTCAGTTTCAGTAAAACTAATTGGAAAGATAACTGAATATATATAATATATTAAAAAGATATATTAAACAGTTCTTCATTTCCAAAAAAAAAATTATTCATTTTAAAATTGATTTAAATCTATGCTCCTAGACTAAGATTCATTAAAAACTAAACATTTTAGAACTTTTATCACTGCTTGAGTTTCTTTCAGTTTTAAGGAATTTGTAATCTATAAAATATCATAAAAGTATAAAATGAAATATAGCCAGATGTAAGTTGAATCATCTCCCTATTGTATTCTGTTTTATTTATTTTAACATTTAATTTATGATTATCTTATTTACATTGACCCCAAAAACTGTTTTATGTAATGCAAATTCAAATATATTTTCAAAGAAATATAAAACTTGTATTCTTTTAGATCATTTCCCTTTTCTTTTAAAATTCTACCATTGAAATTATTTTGTACAACTGATTAATATATTGACATTTCATTGATTTTAAGATTTTCACATTTTCAGATTTATATCTCTGAAATTATGATATAACTAGCAATCATTAACATATCTATGAAGTATTTAAAGTTGTGCCTGAACAAATAGTAAAGTAATTCATCATTAAATGTTCATGAAAACATTTATAAGTAATTCAGAACCCATATATGATAAAATGTAAAGTCAATTTTCAGTATAATTGAATCACATACAACTAAATAAACTGAATGTGAAGCTTAATATCTAATTATGAGCTCAGATGCTATAATCTTTAAGTTATGAGCTCTATAAACCTGCTGCCTATAATATAGGCTGGTGCTATAAATCAGCAAATTAAACAAAAAGAATGAGTATGTTTCTCTAAATTTTGTGAACAAAATTGTTTTCCCTTTGTTTCTTTCTAAAGACTCCTTTACTGTGATCATCTCACTTTTTTGATAGAATTAACTGGAAAATGTTACATAAAACCATCATAATTAGATTTACTAGCATCTTATATATCTTATTTATGCAAATGACAAGAGGAAAATATTGTATAATCTGTCAGTGATGTGGGACGATGGTGGGAATTTAGACTCCTACTACATTTTTTCATTCTCATTTGTGTTGTTCTTTCTTTTTTTCATTCTTTCATTAGTTCTGATAACTTGATGTTCAGTCTTTGTCAGTACTATCATACAACTGCATGTTTAAATTATTTTAATAATTTGAAACAATTGTTCAACCATCTAGGCAGCTGTTAATGAAATTTATTAGAGTAATAACACTACTCTTTCATCTACCTGAGAACTCTTACACATCAAATATATTGTAAGCTAACTCTATTAATCAGATTTTGATCTCTAGTTGTTACAATCTAACCCAACAACATTTAAAAATGCAGTTACTATGGATTAGAAAATTCTTATTTGTGCAAAGAACCTTTAATTATTTTATAGTGATACAAATAAGTAAGATCTTATACAGAATTCCATACAATGAGAATTATGGCACCATATTTTAAAGAATATTTAATATAAAATACTTCAATTCTAAATTATTGGAAAACATACATAACACGTGTTAATATAGAAATTAATTTTGAATACACTTAACATAGCTTTAAAACTATACATTGACCAGCTACTTCATTAAAGTTTTTTAAACCTCTGCAAAAAAAAGTGTTTTTAAATTATCAATGAAATAGCCTTACTTTGTTTCATTACGTAGTACTACTTTTGTAAAAAGAAAGTTAGTGTAAAATGTACTGATAGAGAAAATAATTGAATATAAAAACCCTCTAAGAAAGAAACATTCTCATTACACAATTTTCTTATTATTTCTGACTCTAAATTGAACTTGTAAAACTTCCTTAAATGAGACATAAGATTGGGGAACAACATAATTTCACATAATGTACTATGAACCTGTTCATATAATTCTGATTGACTACTAACTTATGTTTTATGTATTTATTAAAGAGCTGACACTGTAGTTTGTTGTGAGATGTTTATTTTTCTAACAGAGCTTATAACTGTTATGACAAGGCATTTAATTAATGCATCATTCTGTTTAAAAGTAGGTGTTAATATGAAATTTTACCTTTTAAAATAAAAATATAAAAACCTGAGAATGCACAGAATAGTTCTTTCTTCTTTTAATTATTGTATGTCCACGTGCGTGGCAACAGCACAGTCAAAGAAGGAAATGTAATATCTCTATGCTGTCATCATTAGAGGGCATTACATAATTCCAAGAAGCCACTACTCCTAGAAGTTTTCTATATGACACGGGGTCCTCCTAAATGCTTATGATAGTAGACTCATTAAAAAGTGACCTAATCACAAGTAACTGAGAAACAAAAAGATCAATCAGATTTTTCCCTTTTGGTCGGGGGAGGCGTTAGAAATGGGGAGTGGAGAGTTTGGATCACGCCCAGGGGTGCTCAGGGCTGTTCCTGGGTCTGTGCTCAAGAGCGACCCCTAGCTGCTGTGCACAGAGGATCATATTTGTACCAGAATTCAAACAGGGTCAGCCTAAGACAAGACAATACCTTCGCCTCAGCAGCATTGCATTTGATTGTTTTTGGTTCTTCATAGATGGAAAAAGTTAAGGGTCACATATATAAGTGCATGCAGCCAATAAGTCACGAAGACAAGATTCATTCAGACCTATTTTCTTTTCACACATGATCATAGATTTTTAATGCTTTGGGGGCCACACCCAGGGTGTTCGGGTTTACTCCTGGCTCAAGGA